TTTAGCGCGATTCTCATATGGACACCCCGCACCGCTCGACCCTAAAATGGATAAACGAGAGGATTGATGGATGGATATGTCATTGTGTTCAGTATAACAACAAAGTGCTGGACAAACATCAAAACATGCAGAATTACTAGAAAATGAGGTGTAATAAATAAGAACATACTTTACAGGAGAGAGGATCAAAGTTGGGAGACTTTTTATTTCATAATATTGTATATTCATTTTTTCAGCTTGATAAGATTGTAAATACGTTATACGTTAGTGTCAGATATGAATTGGAGAGTTCATACAGTCCTACATATTTGTTTAATATGTGCACTGAAGGACATATCAGGCAGTGATGAATAGTTTTCAAGAAGGCCTTCATGTTTTGAGCAGGACAATGCGTAACTACAGACTGCATCTGCTCCAGCAGCACGGCTGCAGTACTGACCTCTGATCAGCCGAGATCATCGTGAACTCAGCATCATGAACGAAGCAGAGCCAGGACTGCTAAAAAGCTCCTCAGCTCACAGACCCAGAAAACTAGTTTTCTTGAAATCATGCATTTCCTCAAATGACAGGTTGACGTGTTTTCTGTGATCTGCTGTGAATGAAATGTTTGTGATTGTCACTTCTCCTCACTCCTATTGTTGTTTTCACTTTACAGGGATTTCCAAGTTTTTTGCAATTAGTGTTTTACTAATAAGCATTTCATATGTGTGTGCGTGTGTTTGTGTGTGTGTGTGTGTGTGTGTGTGTCTTTGTGTGTGTGTTTGTGTGTGTGTGTCCTCACTGCAGACACTGATAATCTTGCAGCTGCAGCTTCCGTCTGTGAGGTTTTTGTACGAGTGTGTTTCACTGTGTGAACATCGGCGTGCTGTGGTAACTCTGACAGTAATAAACTCCTGCATCGTCAGCCTGAGCTGCACTGATGCTCAGAGTGAAGTCCAGGCCATTCCCTGCTCCACTTCCACTCAGTCTGGAGGAGATTCCTGAAAGTCTGTTTGATGTTAAGTAGATCAGAGCTTTGGGAGCTTCTCCAGTTTTCTGATGGTACCAGGCCAGGAAGTATTGTGAACCAGAATACTGAGCTACTTGTGTACTGACTTTACAATTGATGTTTACAGTCTGACCAAGCTGCACAGATTTGGATGCTGACTGAGTCACCACAACGTTTTGTCCAGCAGACCCTGAGGAGAGAACAAACTCTGGGCATGAGATGCTGAGGTGAAACTCAGCTACACTCTGAATGATTTTCATGTGACAGAAAAATGATTTTCCTCACCTTGAGTCAAGCAGAGGAGAGTCCAGATGAGGACGCAGAGCACACTCATGTTTTTGATGAAGAGGATTTCTGTGGCGTCTGTTGTGATGAAGGACGGCTGTCAGTCATACAGTGTTCAACTGTCAGGACTATAAACTCTCCCAGAGCACTGGAGCATGGTGCCGCTGATGCAAAGCAGCTCCCTGTGGACATGCTCAGACTGACTCAATTACTCTCATGGATCGATCAGGATTCATCTGGAGTGTTTTCTGCATTTTGCATCTTTTAAGTTTCTTTAAGTATTTTCTTTGTTTTTTTACATAGTGAAAGTATATGATCTGTCATAAGTACTGTAATAACAGAACATCATTTTGCTGTGAGCTGAACTCAGTCACATCACATTTTTGTTTAGCTCCTTTACTGAACCTGTCCTCACATGTTCCATTTTTAAACAGC